TGAGATAGGAATAATTTCACATATGTATTTTAGTGAATCGCCTCGAATCGCCTCGAATCGAACATATATTATCAACAACATTGCGACACTGGGGTGATGTCTAAGCTTGTGGCGTGTTATTATTAGAAATAAATATCTGAAAGAATATCTGAAAGAATACTACAGTTTGAATAAGTATTAGCTCAATGCAGTAAAGGTATTATTTTAGTCAAAAATAATAGTTCCATCATGCATGCATATATAAATTCAACAAGGCAACTATAGCCCGATAACTCACTATTTTCTATTCCCTGTTTGAAAGTAGCAGGTTTTACCGGCTATAATATACACAATTATCGAACACAAATGTTGACCAAAAAAATACTGAATCTTAATACTGAAATCTCTAATTAAAGCTTTTACTAAATTTTACTAAAACAATTTTTACTAAAAAAATTAATTTTATTAGTAAAGATTTTCAAAACTATATTGATGAAATTATTAGCAAATTTGGTTTTACTGAGCGCGAGCTCGCGTGGTATGGAGTATTTAAATCAGTGGCGTATTACCTCTTTGGGCGCCGCCCGGCTGAAGCCAGGGGCCCAACTCATTTGGGGGGGGGGGTGTGAACAAGGATGACAAAGTGCGGGCGAAGTTGATGTGATTTCAGCAAATTTTGCATCGTTTTGACGTATAGCTCTACCTCCCGGGGCCCTATTCCAGACATTCCAGTTAAAGCCGCGGCCCTTTAGCACAAAGTTGTTTAATTGGTTTAAGTTGTTCATATAAAGAGTATGAATATATGCTTGCATTCGTAGTCAACGTTCAAATCATGTCCCCATTTTAAACTTCTGGCCAAAACTATAAGCATTTCCGCAGAGAACATTCTCTAAGCAATATAACTAATGATACAACCTTGAATCAGTAAATGCACGAAACACATCATTTTTAAAGTTTCTATGACAATTAACAATTGACTGAAGTGGTTACGTTTTGCGCGCGTTGAAGATCCCCAATTCCGACACAAAACATTACAGTGAGTCCGATGGAAGCCGCGGCATATTAGATATCTGCAGTATCTCGAATGAAAGCAAATATATCCAATGGTGGGTTGACTACAAAATTTTTGTAGTTCGCTATAACTACAGCTACTTCAAAAATATATAGTCAGCTACAACTACTGCTACTTTTGAACAAAGGTAGTTCGCTACCGACTACAGCTATACTGCTTAAAAAATGTAGCGAACTATTTCGCTATTTCGCTACGCTATATTTTTTAGCTTTACTGTATTTGGAGCACTACTAACTCAGGCTGAAATGTAACCTATAACAAATCGACTTACGAGTAGCAACAGTAAACACAAAGCAACATTTTTGTAAACACTATACACTCTACAGTGTTCAAGAGTGCAATTGACTATTGAGGATTGATTTTAAGTAAACCGTGGCTCAACAATTTTAAAAAGTAGCGAATAGCGATTTGCTGTTTGAAAAGTAGGCAACTACTTGGCTACTTCTAGGCAAAATGTAGTTCGCTATAACTACAGCTACTGTTTTAATATACAGTAGTCAAAAACTACTGGCTACTTGAAAATTGTAGTTCGCTACAGTAGCGAACTACAACTACTTCGCTACTACCCACCCTTGAATATATCTATATCTGTTTGCACAGCATAAGCGGGCGTCATGTGATTGTATATGTAGCCCAGGCCGTGGCATGGGTGTTTTTTCGTACGGTAATTTTGGAGAACATCTACACTTATTTTGTGAACGGTAGTTTAATTAATCAATTTACAGTAGAGATTCAAAACAAGTATTATAGCTTAATGTGTACGTCAGTTTACCGAAAAAAACCCAATAATATGAATTATCGAAAAGGCAACTACACGCGTACAAATTTCACATCTTGTTGTTTGCACTGTTGTCCCAAGTTATCAACAAGATTGGAACAAACTGTTTTAAAATAACTTGTAACAACCTTATTGATATTATTAGACTTGTTTAAAGGTTGTTCCAACAAGTCCGATACAGTTATGATATAACAATATTGTTACAACCTTGTGCCGTCAACCTTGTAACACCTTGTTATATCGTGATGTATCAGACTTGTTAGAACAACCTTGTAACAAGTCTGATAATGTCACCAAGCTTGTTACAAGTTGTTAACAGCGTGTTCCAAACTTGTTACAACAACTGGGAACAAGCAGTGCGAACACAACTTGTTGACAGCTTGTGAACAGATTTAGTGTAACAACTTGTTTGCAGACCTGTAACAACTCGTGTGTTTTTACGTGTCTCCCGTAGGTTGACAAAATAGCCGGTTAGCCTGAAAACCCACAAATTACTGAATTATTAATTAAAAACTAAAATTCACCAGAATTTTACCAAAAAATTTTATTACTAAAAATTTTCAAAAACTGACGAAATTTTACCAAAAGTAAAATATTTAGTTTACAAACTTAAGCGAGGAGTTGATGAGAGTTCGCAGTCACGCATTGTTACAGGGACATTTCAAGCTCTAGATTAACAAAATAAAGGTTAATTTGATGAGTGTTGCAACTATGTTTAACTTCAATAGAATACATGATAGTGTTGGGAAGCATTAAGAACAGCTAATTAAAGTCGCGTGACTGAATGATCGTATTTTTACTGATCAATATTTTGAGAGAAGATCTCTATTCCACCCTGTTTTTGACTAAGAATATTTTACAGTGAAGATACACTTGATTTAATTAATTTTAGTACTCAGAAAAAGCGATTACGCAAACTCGCATAAAGAAAATATAAAAATCCTTGTGAAAACTCAAATCATGTCCTCATTTTGAAGTAGTTACACATAATCTCCTATATGGTCAAAGAACTAAGTGTTTCCGCGTAGAATAGATCCCCAAAACACATGAAAGACCCAGTAATGACTGTTTTCAGAACTGAATTAATTAGCTGTACCATTTGCTATATAAACCGCAGTTGGGTCTTGGTAGGATATTCAATATAAGTCATTCACAGCTTTGGAAATCTACTGGAATATTAAGACATTTTTGAAGTATCAGGTATGGCATTTTATTATACATTCATTTCTTAATTGCGTTTAAGGTCTGCTAACGTTCAGAAAAAAAGGGCCACCGGCCATGCACGAAGGAGTTTTCAAAAACGAATTAAGCAATTTGAAGTCTTTGCAAGTCTTTCCAAATTGCATGAGAAACCGTAGCCTACTATATTACTTAATATGTTAGCACAATTGAAAAAGTTATATCCAGAAGTAAAATTCATACAGTCATTTCGATTTTGTTTGAACGCTTGGCAAAAAATTTGGCACTGAATTCATTTTTTGCTCCTAAGGCTGGTTTAAAGTTTCTGTGGTCACAGTATAGGAATTAATAAGTTTTGAAGGATTTGTAAGAAATGTTTGAGAGAACACTTCTCGTTTGACTTTACTCATGACTTAGTTTATTAAATAAGATATATTTATAGCTGCTTAAAAATGTTACTAAATTTTTTTCAGAGAAATCAATATGATTGGATACATTCTGTTCGCCATTTTCGTTGTTGCTGCAAACGCAAACAATGCCAGGTAAGTTGTAGACGAAGAGCGAAGTAGCTCTAGTCGGTAAACAATAAAAGAGTTGGTGAGAGTTGAGAAGCGAGAGAATTTTCTCCGCGTTGCTCCAATGCCCCGTCAAACGAAAACAAGAGTTTCATGAGAGTTGATGATGTGATCTTACGCATGCAGCGAAACCTTATTACGCAGCGAAATACCTCAGCTGTCAAACGAGTTGCACGAGTGTTTTCTCAACTCTCAAACGAGAACAAGAGTTGCATGAGAGTCACGGACTTGCCGACTGAGTTACTGATCAAAAGTCTTGTCACAACTCTCATCAAAATTATAAGCTCCGCATCCTACCCGTCTTCTCCTACGAAAATTTCATGATTTCATATATGTTAAAATGCTTTTTCACATGCATGTGAAGTGTTCCAATTCTACATGCGCCAAATAATTATAATTTCACATGTGAATTAATTTTTACCTATGATCCTTAATTTCACATGTGAAAGAGTATGTAAAATTTCACATGTGTGAAAGTTTTAGAACTTTCACATACGAAACAAGCATTTATGCGTGTGATGTTCCAATTCCACCTAAAATTTCACATGTGAAATGATATGTGAATTTTCCATATATGATATGTTGTGGTTTGAGATCGGGCTGCAGGCGCTATAAACAATGTCTCTTTTTGTATCCAGATTATCAGGTTGGAATAACGCAGCGTATCAAAGACAACAAGACGCTTTAAATGCACAATCAGGTGAATATTTTAAAACAGTCATCCTATAGATAGAAGCATGGTCTATTGATATCAGTTTACCTGGTCTTTTTATCAAATAAAATAGTGCATGGGTATAACATATCACCATTATTCACAAGTTGACGTTTTACTGAATAGTAATGTTTGCTATTTTTCTGCAACCCATTGAGTGCCAGCCACTGATCTATTAGATCAGTGGTGCCAGCTCTCTCTCTCTTGGCGAGAAAACTCGTCTGGCGCTAGACAGAGTAAAATGATAAAGTATAGGGCGAATTGCATGGGGCACAATGCAACTTAATGGGTTAAACATCCTGCACGTTTTAGCCATTAATTTTTAATCAGCCATTTTGCGCCTCATAATTCAGATTAAGTACATAGCAATTAGCAAGTGTCAAAATTTGAATTCTTTATATCTTTATAAATATCTCTCTTTGTGGTTTTTTTTTACTAAAAACAGCTCGTCCTGGGGACAAAGTATTTTTTTATTGCCAATTAATGTCCTTTAAATAGAAAACTTTTTTTTACCCAATTATTATTTTTTAATTCAAACCGTCAAAGAGCAGTCCCTAAATGTGTCCTCTATATTTATACAGGGACAATTCAAGGACAATACAATGAGATCCCTACTGATACCTATGTCAGCCATTGGACCAATGAAGTTCTCGCCATAGCTCGTGGAGCAACTCAGATAACAATTACTAACCATAATGTGAACAATGTCAAAATTGGTAAGTCAATGAAACTGCTACATTTACTATTCTAGAACATTTGGAACACTGTTCTGGAACGATATGAAATGGAGTGCACACGCAGCCGGTGTTCTGGAACAGTGTTTAGTTTATTTTTTGTGCTTACAACCATGCATTACTATATTCATTAGTTATTCGCATAATTTGCTGGAGAATTTGTATATCTAACTAAAAACTCATTAGTAATTGTTTAATCAATGTTTGTAAATCGGATAAAGGTTTGTCCTGATTTACATAAACTTCAGCTTTGATTTTCTCGGCTTAGACAATGTTTATTTTTAAAATTACTTCGCCAATGAACTCATAAGATGCGTCGTATTTTAAGCACATTTATAAAACATTCGCATCCGATCTTTATCAGGGGCAGGTTATACGAAGGCCGGATAGCGCTATCCACCGGATAGTGATTTTTTCAACCTTGTAAAAGTGCTTGAAAAACTGTAAAACTACGGATATAGAGGACACAAGAAGTATGGCATAGTATATATATATATCTCGCCTTCGCCTCGAGTTTATATAATATAGTCTATATACTTTTGCACCCAGTCGCCTCATCGGCTCGTGAACCACTTTCTGACGTCATACGGTGTAATAACTAAACAGACAACGCAAAATCTTATCTACTTGTTAAACAGTAAACGAAATCTAACACCAACTTCGTTTACTCGCACCCTCGCGGCAGTAACTCGAACAATTTGTCGAATTAATTTTTTACTTCTCTTGGGAGTTCGAGTTAGCTGAGGTTCTACGTAGTAAAAAATGACCTTGTACGTGAAAAACTAAACAAACTCAAATATTTATAGCTGTTGGTTACAAAGGAGCAAATAGTGGATCTCTTAGTCATCCGTGGTGGACTAAAAGTGGTGATCTGGTGGAATATTTTTCTGAGGGAGGAGTGCAATGTGTATACCAGAGGACTGGTCAAGTAGCCACCGTCCTCATTTCAGGTACGTTGTGTACACACACGAAAATCTCACATCTTGTCTGCCAACAAGTCGTCAAAAAGTTGTGTTCGCACTTCTTGTCCCAAGTTGTCAACACGTTTAGAACAATCTGTCCAAGAATTTGTAACAACCTTGTTGATATTAACAAACTTGTTGCAAGGCTGTTCCAACAAGTCCGATACAGTCATGATATAACAATACTGTTACAACCATGTGTCGTCAACCTTGTAACATTCTTGTTATATATATATCATGACTGTATCAGACTTGTTAGAACAACCATGTAACAAGTCTGATAATGCCATCAAGCGTGTTACAAGTTTGTTCCAAACTTGTTACAACAACTGGGAACAAGCAGTGCGAACACAAACCAGTGTAACAACTTCAATTGTGCGTTTTTCTTCTCGTGTGCGGCCGACAGTTTTTCATGAAGATAGAACCTCTCGAGGACTTGACTTGAGGAAAATATCCATCGTGTTTGATATTTTTCACCTCGCGAGGAAAAAATCTCAACGTCTTCGGATGTTGCGAGCTTTAAAATTAGTGCTGAGCTGCTTGAATTAACTATCCAACGAAGACCCATAGTTTCTTCACGTGACTTTTGTCATAATGGCGACAATGAAAATGCATAGCAGAGCTAACTGCTACCGAGGCGGTTGGGCGGGTTGGCTCAGCAATTTCCCTGGTTTACTGCATGGGCCATCCCGGCTCATATGAGCAGGCCCTTATTTCAATTTGTTCATTTTATAGGCCCAGCCAACCCTGTTGTTGGAGGAAACCAGAACCTGAATCTCATAGTTGGAGCATTACGTACCAGTAGCAACTCTGGGCCAGGTCATATCACTTGGACATACACAGCTAACTAATTAGATAGTTGATAATTACTCCAAAACATGTCATAATACATTTTGAAGAATACTTGATTAAAATACAACGCATTAATTTTTGTGTTCAGTGTATTACTCGTGTTTACGTACATTGTCGTACAATATTAGTTAAAGAAAAGGACAAAAAATAAAAAATATCATTCCATATTCTAATGTGAAACGAGCAACAGCAGAGTTAGCAATATCCATGGACCGTGCAAGCGCGGGGAAGGGGGGCTGGGGGCTTCACCTTTTGAAAGGTGAAACATAGTTTCGGACTTCTACAGCGTCGCCACTTTAAGCGTGCGTACGTGATTTTCAAAGCGAATTAACCCTCAATGGAAATTATCGATTCTAATAAATGTATAGGTATTTAATTTTCCATTCGATAATTTCCATGTACAAGAACCTTCAACTATTATTGAATCGAGTATTCGAGTGAGATGCCAACCGATTGATCTCGATGTATACACATGGTTGCTGTATAACTTCAACCTCGTTTGATATATGCTTTGAAACATTGCTTTGTATTTGTTGAATAGATAACATATAATCGGTGCGTGCGTACATGAACGTAGGCTACCTCACGACAGGAAAGCAGCCACAACGGAACCCTATAAAATCGTGAGACTTCGCATGTTGCTGACGACAATTGCTGGCAACTGTGAGTCTGTGACGCTATATACACACGTAAAAACGCAAAAGTTATTACAGGTCTGCAAACAAGTTGTTACAAATCTGTCCACAAGCTGTCGACAAGTTGTGTTCGCACTGCTTGTTCCCAGTTGTTGTAAGAAGTTTGGAACAAGCTGTTAAGGGAGCGGTCATTATTTATGGCGGGGGGTGGCACCGAAGAGAAAAAGGTTGGGTAAACAAAATTTTGAGTGAGTAAAAGGTTGGGTAAATGAAAAACAAAACAACTCAAGGGTTGGGAAGGGTTGGGTAATAAAAATTTATTGTCATTTTCAAAGCATGACCCACTGAAATATTGGAGACTGAAAAGCAATGTCAACAGTCATTTGTCAATACAATATGTGAATCAATCAGAGTCACTATCTTGATCATAGTTTGACAAAACAAATTGTGTTTCCAAAGAAAGTACATGTGCAGACAACATGAAACTTTAGACTGCAGAAAATTTCACAAGCCGTTATCAAACTCATGTCACTGAAGTGATAAAGGACATGTATGACAACTGAATGGTATCCGTTTGTTAAGTTTTTGGCCAGGGGTGGGTATTTATTTTTTAATTGATATTTGAGGTTGGGTAATCAAATTTTTGTCTTTTTAATGGTTGGGTCAGCAAAATTTTTGACACGGAAAACATTTCTCTTCGGTGCCACCCCTCGCCATAAATAATGACCGGTCCCTAACGACTTGTAACAAGCTTGATGCCATTGGCCTATTATCAGACTTATTATAAGGTTGTTCTAACAAGTCTGTTATAACAAGACGTAGGTTGACGACACAATGTTGTAACAATATTGTCATATCGTGACTGTATCGGACTTGTTGGAACAACCTTGCAACAAGTCTGATAATATCAACTAGGATGTTACAATTAAGTTGTTAACAACTTGTCCCAAATTTGTTAACAACTAGGAACAATTAAAGAGTGCGAACACAACTTGAATAATTATATCATCATAGTTGACCATTTGTCGTCAATATATAATACGCTTTCAAGTCAAATTGTCTGCTATTGATGTAGTATTTTGCAAATTCAAGTCAATTCAGCCAACATGACGTATTCACGTATTTTTACATTTTCCATTCAACAGTACGTCATGTTAGGTCCAATATAAAGAATACAAAGAACTCCATATTCCATACTTCTTTGACTAGTATTCTGCAAAAATAACAGTGAAATTCTCGACTTATCATGAAAATACCTTCAATCGTAAATGTGCAATGGTTAGCCCAAGCTATGTTAAAGACGAAACCTTTGAAACAATTGAGAATTCTTGATGGAACTTGGCGTTTAAAGGAGAATGGCTCTGTTCAAGCCCAACAAGATTTCTTGGACGAGCATATCCCTGGGGCAGTTTTCTTCGATATTGACGAATGTTGTGACAAGACTAACGTCTACCCACACATGATTCCGAACGAGAAACTATTTGCTGAATATGCCAAACATTTGGGTATGACGTTATAATAATTATACTTATACAAGGGGATTAATTGCGTCAACTCAAGTATACAACCGGGTACCAATAAATTAGCACCCTACTGAATTGAATTTTGTCAATTGCTCGTTCTTTTAAATCAATGTTATATTTGATGACAAAAGTAATTTCCCAGGACGAAAATAAAAAGCTTGTTTTAAAGAAAGATCCAGTTTTGGGTGTGTTTTAATTAAACCAGGATATTACTTCAAGTGATAGTGAATTTCGTCATAATTGCACATGCTTTTTTGCACGGAGCGAGAACGTATAAAACTAAAATACAATTGGGGTAGGTAGGTATTATATTGTTTTATTTTCCGCTTGTTAGCGAAGGCAAAAGTTTGAGAAAGATTGTTTTGACTTGCTTTTAAGTGTGTTTAACAGAACAGACTAATTGTAGAGAATCTATCCTGTAGTCTGTTCTAACAGATAACTTTTTACTAATTGGTCATTTTGGAAAACCATGAAACTGCCATCATTAGTCTCGGTTAGTTGGCTTGCCCAAGCTATTTTAAAGACAAAGCCTTGGAAATCGTTAAGCGTTGTTCACAGCACGGTTGGCGCCAAGAGGGATTTTATTGAAAACCATATCCCTGGTGCGGTATACTTTAACATTGATGAATGTTGTGACATCACGAGTGTGTATCCACATATGTTACCAAATGAGAAACGGTTTGCCGAATATGTTCAGCATTTAGGTACTGTATGGTATGAGATGTATGTGGTTGGTCTCAAATTGATCAGCAATCAGTTATATTACCGGTACATTAATATCAGACTTATCTGGCATTAATATATTACATTCATTTGATATCAGGTTAGGTTTAATCCATTGAGCTCAGGCTTTAAAGTGGCCATGTGTTCTGCTGTGCCACATTAGTATTTTCAGTACATCTAAGACTACTTAAAACCAGCTAAATTTACTGGTAAAAACCAGCTAAATTTAAAGGCACTGAAAAAGGGGGAGAGAATGCTGCCACTCGACATGGGATTATAAAACATATTGTTTGTTTAGGAATAACAAATGATAGTCACATCATTGCTTATGATAACGATGAGGATTTTGGCGTGTTTTCAAGTCCGAGAGTTTGGTGGATGTTTCGATGTTTTGGTCATGAAGCGATCTCAGTTTTAAATGGAGGTTTCCACAAGTGGTTGGCTGCCGGCTTACCTGTGGAGTCAGGTGAAGGGAAGCCAGTGGAAAGTAAGTGTACAGTAGTACAGTATAGTTTTGCATGACTATAATTTACGAATACAGAATCATAAACAGATTTTCAGATTTTGCTCTGGTGTGTGTGTGTGTGTGTGGGATGTGCAAATTTCTCTAGGTGAGAAAACTTTTTGGAGGGTGGGGGGTGAAAAATATATTTTTGGAGGGGTGCAGCCCCTAAAACAAGATGGGTGATAATATGGTAGGGTGCATAATGCAACTCAATGGGTTAACCCATTGAGTGGCAGCACTCTCTCCTTGATGATTTAAAATCATCTGGCATTAGACAGAGTATAGTAGGGTGCATCTGCTATGGGGGCATTGAATAAACATCTATTAGTAATTATATTTTAAATCTGATTATGTTTTAGCGAATCAGCCATTTAATGCCAAACTGAATCCATACCTAGTACGAGACTATGAGACCATGGTTGAAAATGTGAAAGCTGGGGGATTAGAAACAGTGGTCGATGCTCGATCGAAACAGAGGTTCCAAGGCACCGACTCAGAGCCACGCCCAGGTATGCATGTTGGACACATACCATTCGCTGGGAATGTTCCGTTTATTGAATTACTTGATGAGCGAAGGGAGTTTATGAGAGACTCGGAACAATTGAAACAAGTATTTTCCAAACACAACGTGGACCTCGATCGGCCAATCACAACGACATGTGGATCGGGGATTACCGCATGCCTTGTGGCATTAGCCGCTCACCAGAGTGGGGCGAAGCATGTGAGTGTGTACGATGGCTCGTGGGCGGAGTGGGGTAGGCGTGCCACCCCTGACTTGGTGGAGAGGAATTAAGAACATCAAGACATAATGGGAATGGGCTCGAGAATCAATGACAACACATGTTTAGGATTTGAATAAAGTGAACTCCAAAATTATATATCTGGAGTTAAAACGTCATATACTTTATCATTGCGATAGCAGGGTGACATAAAAACGATATCATATCGCTTTTGTCACTGGTATCGTTTAGGTCCCGCTATTTTAATAATTGTTGTATTGGGGCAATGAATGCATGTAACAAAGGCACAAGTATATAAAAAACAGGTTATCGATCATAATGGGGACGAGGCGATATCAGTTTTATGTACCATTTAAAACTTGAGCAGCAGTGTCATCAGATATAAAGATACCAGGCGAAGCTGAGTATCTTTAGGTCTGGTGAAACACGCACTGCGAATGTTTTAAATTGCTTCAAAAACGATCGATTTCGTAAGTTCATTGGCGAAGGAATTTTCAAAAAATGTTACGTTGTGTAAGTTGAGAAAATCAAAGTTAAAGTTTATGTAAATCAAGGGAATCTCTATCACATATAAAGATACGACACGCTTATGATTTTTCTTTGTGTTTCCTCAATTATTAATGAGTTTTTGAATGACATGGTATTGTCGCTCAAGCGATAAAACTAATATCGCCTCGGCCTTCATACTATAACCTATACATGTACAGTATACATATATGCGGTATTAATAAGTCGATATGTGGTAAAGTGTTTTAAATTGTTAGTAAAGATACAAAATACAACTGAAACAAACTTTGAAGTTTTCATAAAATTTATTGCAAAATAGACAATAATATTGAATGGATTGAAACTGACACAGAGTGTGGGCCTCCTGTGATTTAACTTGAAAAGTTAAACCTTTTTTTTTAAACAAGGGTCCAGATTTTAAAAAGGTCACTTCATATACTAAGTCTAAGAGCAGGAATCCGTTTATTTCGACAAATGGGGAGGTGGGGTCGGTCTTTGCTGGACCTGTTTAGTTTTAAAAGGGAGGGGGGGGGGCTTGTACTTGTTTAAACCCGTCTCTTAAAGGGTCACCCATTTTATTCAAGTGCCCGTTATTATAAACGGTGGACCTGACACTATTAACATCTCACAATTTGTCAACGAGATGTATTCGCAACAGGCTTGTAGCAAGCTTGTCAACCAGTTGCAACAATGCTGTTATTTCATCAAGTTGCTACAAGGTTGTCACTCGCAACGTGTTGACAAATTGTTGAATTGCAGGACGATAACAGGTTGTTGGAACAACTTGTAACAAGTCTGTTGAACTCAACAACCTTAATTGTAGCAACTTGTCAACAGGTTGGGAACAAGCGGTGCGAACACATCCCGTTGACAAGTTGTTGGAACAGCATTGCTACAAGTCTGCTGCAGGTTTATTACAACTTGTGCGTTTTTACGTGTGTAGCTGGACAACTTTCGTTTTAAACGGGGGATTTTTCGAAACCGTTTTACCGTATGAAGAGCAACGGCTTCGTTTAACCTGACCTTTTATCAAGCTGGGTCGGTGTTCAAAAGGCATCCTGTAGTATATATAATTTCAAAAGTGAATCTGCGTTTTCTCAAGCGGGGGCCGGGGCCTGTAGTTTCGAAATGTGAACCCCTTTGGGGCATCAATTTCCCGTTTGTAATCTAAAATGACTGAAAATTGCAAATTTAGCAAGGCTATATTATCCGCATTTTACAACATTTCGCAACGAAACTTTGGAATATTACTAATTTTGTGATGCTCTTTCTTTTATCTAGACTTGTTTAGATCAAAATTTAGTCTATAACCAGAGGTCTATAACGCAAATGGTCAATTGCCCCAGAACTCGCATGTCACTTTCAGCCTTCTAGGAACTGGTAACTAACATACAGTTACCATGGTAACAATAAACCAATATGGCGGCTGAAAAACAAAAAATCGACAAAATGTGAATTTTTTTGGATTTTCTCTTGGAAAATGTTTTTATTGTGTTAAATATCCATTCAAAAGCGATGTCTACATTGTGTGCATCAGAGGCTTTCTATAAGCAACTTAAGAATCTCCGAATCGAAGATTTTCCTTGCGGTGTTGGACCTTGGGTATGTCACACAATGTGCATGTTATATTTATTGTTATAGTTATCGATGCTATGCCTGTTATGCTCATATTTGATAAACAGCAGAATACTTAAAAATACAATGCAGTACTTTAATTATACTCAGAAAGTAATGAACAATGAATTTACAAGAATTATTGTATTAATACAATGACAAAACAAGGTTTTTACTCGTTCATAATTAACTTCATACCACCAAACGTCCAAACTAGTACATATATGCATGGTTCAATTCTTCTAGTTACCTCCCCCCAGGCAACCCCTGGGGAAATGTACACTGACACTATGCAAGTACCCCTAACATTATTCAATGACTTTTATGATTTTCAATAATTTTTTGATGTTGTATAGAGGCAAGCATCAGACAAAATTGTATCAAGATACGGTAAGGCTGAACAATTATTAAAGAAATGTATCCATATTTAAGTGAATGATATTTACAAGGCTTAGACACTTCTATATTATTTTCCTTAGATTCTGGTGGAGCACAATATGAAAGTATAGAAGCTTTGCTAGACCTTGAAGCCAGCTCACCATATACTGTCGACTATAATTGGAGTAAAGAAGCTGGGAATTTACGAAAGATTGCCATTGAGACTCCAGAGTCCTTGCAGGATCCAAGCTTTATATTGAAACATTTCACCACACTCAGAATTGTGGATAAAAATGTAATTCTCAATTAAACCCACTGTTAACCTCAATCTTTAAGACAGTATTATATTATGGTATTAGTACTGAATTTCTATACTTTTTGCAATATGATTCAGGTCGATCATATAGACGAAGGTATCTTAAAGTTTCTTAATTTGAAAGAGTTAATTCTGACTGCAAATTATATCAACAAAATAGATGGCAGAAATTTACCAAAAGGATTGGAGGTAATTTATGCAAAGCGATGGTTTTTTCTGTAATACCAGTGATATACTGTATGAAATCAACAGGGAATTTGTGTATAGCATGTGGCATTCAAAACTGCAGTACAAAGGGCAAAGTTTTCTATAGAAGGTATTCATTCAGTAAGCTGAAACTTCAGTACGTGTTACAGCAAAAAGGGACACAATAATTATTGCATATATAAACATACTGTACATACAATTCACTTATTCAACATTCCTTAATCCCATCCCATCATGAGTCCAGTCATGTTTCAAGACAAGTCGGATTTGCAAAATACACATTTAATTACGGTTTTGAACACCTTGGAAAGTTTGCTGGTCATATACGATACACAGATAGTGAGAGTACCGCGTAGCTACGTAGGACATGGCGGGAAACAAAGAAGTACCAGACCCTAATATTGGCGTACCTCCGGTATGTAAGTACGCAAATTATGGCACCCTGAATTTGAACCACTGTCACAGAAGTCGGAAAGACTAAGGTGCATTCATCTATCCGCGAGAAGGCCTTGTGTATACTACTCTTTTGAAATTATTTCGGATCTTTACTCGTTTAATTTTCCTGTAGGTATTAGAGTTAGCGGCCAACAATGTCAGTGATCTGACCGCTTTGAAATGTGCCAATCTTTGTTCATTGTTACATCTTGGTCTGGCCCAAAATCAGGTCATTGATATTTCATCTCGTTCGTTTACGCCGTCAAAATGGTAAGTGCGTGGCGTCTGAGAGGAATTACATTCCAAATGATGCGAATATTGTATATTTCGAACTTGAGTAATTCTTCAATATAGACGTTATCCCATGCAGGGGTTTTCAGGGACCAAGGAAACAAGATATATTTTGCAATGCATGAGAACACGGGAACAAAGCCAAAAAATAATACGGAACAGGGGAACATGTATAGCTGAACATAATCATTTCTTTTGGTAATGACTATAATGAGTTCCATATACGGATGTCCCAACGAACATGGAATTCTTTTTCATATTATTAGTACGAGGCCAAACCTTTGGTGTAAAATAAGAAAAGTATTTTCCGGTCTTTTCAGGTTTCTTTTTATTTTTTGTATTTGCTTAACAATCATATATAAAGATCGTTGGTAAGGACAACAAAACATAAGTCTCTTATTAAGTCGCACTGTCTATATCGAATATCGCGTGTTCAGTTTATTTTTGTAGCACTTAATATATAGTTTAGTTTTAAGGATAGAAAGAGAAGAGGGCAATTTGACATCGCAAGTTTCCGTGCATGTATGATTTGTGAATAGAATTGGAGCGTTGTATGTCTATAGCACGCGTTGAAAATCAACTTCTTTATTCAGTCTTTGTTTATGTCCTGCAGGCCGTCATTGCTCTCATTGGACCTCAGTTATAACAACCTCACTGATCTTCAAAGTACTGTGGAAATACTGAAACATCTTCCAGCTCTTAGGAATCTTTTGCTTATTGGTAATCCACTTCATGTGAGTACTACTGTAGGACGATACTAAGCTGAGTGGACTTCTAGGGAGAGAAAATCTTAGAACTGATAGAACTATTCAGTATAAATTAAACGTTTTCTGTAGTAACACTATAGCTGAACAACAGAGGACTCGTACCGGATATATAGGTAGAAAATCTTAGAACTGATAGAACTATTCAGTATAAATTAAACGTTTTCTGTAGTAACACTATAGCTGAACAACAGAGGACTCGTACCGGATATATAGGTAGAAAATCTTAGAACTGATAGAACTATTCAGTATAAATTAAACGTTTTCTGTAGTAACACTATAGCTGAACAACAGAGGACTCGTACCGGATATATAGGTAGAAAATCTTAGAACTGATAGAACTATTCAGTATAAATTAAACGTTTTCTGTAGTAACACTATAGCTGAACAACAGAGGACTCGTACCGGATATATAGGTAGAAAAT